ACTAGTTTTAAAATTCAAGTATGAGTGTATTTTAAATATTGAATAGACCATAAATTTATTGTCTAGTAGAAAAGAGAAATAGGCCAATTTGGTCACATACTATTCAGTTGTAACAAAACTGAATATCATTGTATGTTTTAAACTACTTTGACTAACAAATCCGTTAATGGCAGTTTAACCTTTTATTGTTGATGTGTCTCGAAGTTTCTGTATCAAATGAGGCTGTTTCACAAGATTGTAGTTCAATATTTTGTGTGTATGTGCAGTTTTAAACTTTTATTTATTTATTTTAGTATACCATGACACAGTTCAATTGGCTCTGGGATTTCCCTTATCCCATCCCCAAATCCCCACTCTGCCCACCCTGGTTTCGCCTATATTATTGCAATAGTATAGTCCTTCACAATCAACCATAGGTCCATCATTCTGCTGTTTAAGTATATCCTGACATTGCAGGCATGGACAGTGGTAGAGAGTCCACCATCCTCTTGTCAAGATACATTCAAAAGTTTCATTGGAAGTCCATCTTTGATTTGGAAGTACAGATGCACACCGCATTGTATCTTCACATCTGAATGTGATAATCTTTACTACACAGTTACTATACATTACGATAAATGAAAAGCCATAAACCAAAATCAATAGAAGGCAAAAAGAAAATTTACGACACTATTTAGTCAAATAACATGCTACTGAATGACCAGTATGTTGCTGAAGAAATGAAGAGAAAATCAAAGACCTTCCTGAAGCAAACAATGCTGCTGTGTGACTTTGAGTCTGTGAGGAAATTAATAAGAAAAATAAAAACATTTTTTGAATGAATGGAAATGCAAAAGAAGCATCAAAACCCATGAGATGTAGCAAAAATAGTATTGAAACGGCTATTGAGCTCATATTTTGCATGAAGATTGCCATATATCAGAGAGAATATATATTTGTCCATTTGGGATTGACTTGTTTCACTGAGAATTGTGGTCTCTGGTTGGGCCCATTTTGTTGCAAATCGTTGAATTTCATTCCTTTTTTTAAAACATATTTTTATTTTGAATTATGTGTTACAATTTCATAAAGGTTGGGATTCTCCCCCGAACTTCTACCCCCTGACAGATTTTTCCCCATTTTACTACAATGATTTAGTCTTTCATAAGGAATCATAATTCTATCAGTCTTTTATTTAAGTGTACGCCGACATTGTTGGTACAATATCAGACAGTCCAGCATCCATTTTCTACACATGTTGTTTGTTCTTTTGTGATTCACTCATTACACTGAGCATAATAGTCTCTACTTGGGACCACCTAGTTGTAAATAGTATAATTTCATTCTTCTTAATAGCTGAATAATATTACATGGAGTAGATGTGCCACAGTTTCTTTAGCCACTCTTCTTTGGAAGCACATCTGGATTGTTTCCATGTCCTTGCTATTGTAGATTGTGCTGCTACAGGAGTAGATGTACAACAGTTTCTTTATCCACTCCTCTTTTGGTGGGCAACTGGGTAGTTTCCATGTCTTTGCTATAGTAGATTGTGCTACTGTAAATATAGGATTATAGGTCCCTTTCTCTTATGCAGATTTCATTTAATTTTGACATATTCCCAGAAGTAAGATAGCTGGATCAAATGGCGGATCGATTTTCAGTTCTCTTAGCACCTTTATGCTGAATTCCATAATGATTATACTAGCCTACACTCCCTCCCACAGTGAAGGAGTGTACCTTTCTTCCCACATCCACACTAGCAGGTCCTGTCAGTAGAGTTCTGAATGTAGGCCAATCTCACGTGAGTTAGATCGAACCTCAATGTGGTTTCTATTTGTATCTATTTCCTTGACAGCCAGGGAGCCTGAGTATTTTTTCCATATGTCTATTAGCCATTTATTTTGAGATAAACATTCTGCTTTCAAGTATCATCTTTGTTTTCTATTAGTGTTAAACTTTTAAATGTATAACGGACTTAATATTTAAGATTATTATCAAATGTTTTCCTCTATATGGTTTACGTATATTTCATTCAAAAACAGTAAAAACTTGGGTGCCAGAATTTAATGTATATTTAGAATTTCCTTTTGTACTTGGTGTTTTTATAGTACATATGCTCAGAAAATGAAATAAATATTCATTCTCTGATGGTCTTACATTCTGTAATTTAGGAATAAAATGCTTAACTGATATTTAATTTGCAAAAGTTTAAGTAAACAATGAATTATGTCATCAGAAAAATAAACCTTCTAGAAACTTTTCATTCATTAAACATTTAGCAAATCACATTCAGGAAAGCTTAGTCAAATAATCTAGGAAGAACCTATGACTAATCAGAAGAATTATGATGCTTCTACATTATTATAACACAGGTTTTTGTCCCCTTCCTTTGAAGTCGGGATATGATCTCCTATCCTACATGTAACTTGCATCCTCTGAAAATGTCTTAATTAAAAATAATGACTGTTGCAATGAAAAATGATACTTTATAAAGTTGTTTCCTGATAATTTTTGACATAGGTTTTTTTCTTGTAGACTTCAGGTGGTAATAACTACTATATTTTGCCTATGCTAATTGAGAGTTTTCTGTGCAGAATTCATAAAAAATATTTGAAATGTTCTAATGTAATGTATTAAAATATTTTGTACATTTTACTTGATTTGTTGATTAATCTAATACCCTCCCTTTAAGAGATTTTTGTTATGTAGTTGGTGCGAAACCTTCTAAAGGGCTTAAGCAATATATTTAGAATTGTGTAATTTACCAAATACATCGCTATCAGAGTAAATAAATAGATTTACTTCTATGGGACACTGTTTTTGCTACTTGAACTGAAGGAATTGCTGATGAGGAAAATGGCTTTTCCGTTTCTATTGCTTTTAAAACTGTAGGAGACTCAAAAAACAGCACTATGAACCTTTGTAGATACAATGTGAACTGTATTCATTTATGACATTGTGTTTTGAAAGAAGTACAAGGTCAAATAAGAAACCCATTGGATTGAAATCACCAAATGAAGTTGACGATGTTAGGATTTATCAATCACAGTCAATGACAGCAGCATTACTGTTTTCATGATCATAGTGCCATTTCTGTTTTTAAATTAAACTATGGTTGGTAATTGTCTTCTGGTGCATATGGCAACTGAGCAAACCTGTGCACAGTCAATAGCTCCATCCAGTGTCTTCAGCAAGATACTTTTAGAGCTAAAACCTATGAAACCTTTTCTTAAGTTATAGGTAAATCTATTTTATATTGAAGAATAACAGATCTTGCTAAGACTAAGTTAATCTAAACTTGGAAGTGTTTATCTGTACTGCAGACTTAAAATGTTCTGTTTACAATGTTTTAATATTAACTTTTATGTCAGAATAAAGGGAATGCATGATTATTAAACTAACTCAGAGAGTACCTTTTAGATCTTTGTATACAATATTAGAATAAGTCAAGCACAGCCATACTGACAAGTATTTCAGCCCTGGTCATTTTCCAATTAAGGCATAGCCTCACATTAGAACTTTTTGTTCACCTAGCTTTACAAAAGCATGTGCAGTAATTGTTAACTTTGTCTGAATTATTTTTTAAAGATTAAATGGGCACACTGGTAATTTTCATTTATCTCATACAGAGAAGCTAATTAAAATTTCCATTATTATCCATCCATTATCTAATTGTTTCCTTTGTTCAGTATCAGTACAGAATGTTAATAATAAGCCAGTCTTGTATTACATACCTATTAAGTATAGTGTGAATTAATTAATCTATTACACTATTTTGTTTTCACATGGTTTCCTTAATAGCTGATAACATGATAATTACATTGAAGATACTTTTACACTTTTGTTATAGATATTTTGAGATTGAATGCTTCATTATTTTTAAAATTCAGTATTTGTGGAAGTGGCATATATGGTAGAGGAAGAAATTACTGAGTATCACAGTATATATATGTTTTATACACATCGCTTCATTGATTATGTGAACCGTGACTACCGTGTAGTTTTGTCATTTCTGTTTTTAAAATATTTATTTGAGTATTTGAAAGAGCTACAAAGACAGAGAGACAGAGAGATAGAGATTTCTTCTCATTGCTGGTGCTTTTTTCAGATGGCTGAAACAGCTAGCCAAAATTGGCTCAAGTTGAAGCCAGGAGCCAGTAACTCCTTCAGTCTCTAACGTGGGTTGTAAGGCCCCAGGTTCTTGGACCATCTTCTGTTGCCTTTCCAGGCACATCAGTACCAGCCCCTGACTGGTTATATCTATCATGAAGATATTAGAACAGCTAATCTTCAGAAATCTTTACAGACTTATCATGTTTTCATATTTTTCAAATATGAGCTTATGCCAAGTGTCAAAGCTCTAACTTAGGTAAAAAGCATTCATTCTTACAAAGAATGTATATGTTTTTTCTGAGTTCCTGGCTCCTGGTTTCAGTTTGACCCAACCCAGCTACTTTCAGCATTTCCGAATGAGCCAGTGATAGATTCAGATATTTATTATTTCTCTCTCTTTCTCTCTCTCTCTCTCTCTCTCTCTCTTATTCTCTCTGTCTGGCATTCTACCTTTCAAATAATTAAATCTTTAGAAAAGTTTATTGTGCTTATATTTGGAAATTCATTTGTTTTTTCATAATATGTATCTCCATGAACTGCTTAAAGAACTCTCATTTCCCATTCAACTAATGAGTGCCAGTTGGTTAGTTCTAAATGAAGATGAGGAGAATGTTGATATATATATCAATATATATATACTTATATATATATCAATATATATTGATCAATATATTGTTGATATTATATAACATATAATATGTATACATGTATATTATATGCATATATAATTTATATGCATATATTTATATATTATTATATAAAACACAAATTTACTACTCAATTCTGTGATGAAGAATTTTTAAATGCCTAGCACATTGTACACATTTGCATGCAGCAAAATGTGTATATATCCTACACATTGTGTTACTTAAAATAATTTAAAGCGATTTTTATCTTTTATTTTTTAGGGTGGGCTGAAAAACAGCAAGCATGAATGCACCCTGTCTTCACAAGAGTATGTTCACGAATTAAGATCTGGTATATCAGATGAGAAACTTCTTAACTGCCTAGAATCCCTGAGAGTTTCTTTAACCAGCAATCCTGTGAGGTAGGTCGTTCTTATCCTTTTGTTAGGAATCATACAATCACCATTGCTTGGGAATATCATAAGCTCTGTTACTTTGATATATGTTTCCTGACTGATAGGCTGGTATTAAGTAATAGAACAATAATTTCTGTCATGGTATAGAATAAAAAAGGTATTTAATCAACTGGAACTTCGGTAATGTGTAATTTTTAAATAATGCAAAAATTACTTGGATAATTCCTCTTTGTAGATAGATAACATAGAACAAAACATTGGTACTTATATGTGGAAGTCAGTTTATAATATCAAGTAATATATCTTTATGAACAAATTTTGTATTGGTTTTATGCTTTTATTCCTTTTAAACTTGAGAAGTATATGCAATTTTATATGCAAGTTTTAGTTATGGTTACACGTTTCTGTAATTGTAGATCAAAAGAATTAAGTTATTTTAATAAAATACTTAAAATTATTAATAAACTCCTTAAAATTCTATGCTACTAACTGAATATAGAGGATTATTAAGGACAATCTTGCTACTAGTGGTGGATTCTAAAAATTCTTGCTCCATTATTAACTGTAAGCATTTAATGTAATAACACTTATAGGAAAATATTTTTAAAAAGAAAAAATGATGTTGAATTTTTTATCAAAATGTTATTTGATCTACTTACACAGTTTCTAGGATCATAAGTTGAAATGTAATAAATATAGACCCTTGTCTGTACCTACAGTGTTATACATTTAAATAGCAAAATAATGGACTTGTGACTGTTGTTGAAGGACTATACTATTGTAATAGTATAGGGGAAAACAGTGGTGCAAAGGGGGAATAAGGAGGGTGGAATGGGATATCTCTGAACCTATGAACTGTATCATGAAGAAATAAAAATCATAAAAAGCATAAAATGAATAATAGAAAAGCAACAATAATAATAAAGTGTGTATAGAAAACATATGATGATTTTTCTGTTTTACATTTTCCCATGTCTGATACTATTGAAACCCGTTCACAGAGTCTTGACAGTAGAGTAGATCTCATTCATTCAATTTTTGTTCATTTATATGAACAGTGTATTTGGCTAGGATGAAGCCAGGAGTTTGGAATTGCACTTGTTTTTGCCACGTGCATGCAGGGGCCCACACACTTGGAACATCTTCTGCTGCTTTTTCCAGGCACATCAGCAGGGATCTTAACAGATAGTGGAGGAACAAGGGCTGAAGCTGTCATCCACAAGGGATGCTGGCATTGTCAGCAAAAGCTGAACCCACTATGCTACAATGCTGGCCAAATAATAATAATAATAAGAGAGAAAGATCTTCCATCTGCTGGTTCACTCCCCAGGTTGCTGCAACAGCTGGAGCTGAGTTGAGATGGTGTGAAGCCAAGAACCAGGAGTTTATTCTAGATCTCCCATGTGGGCCCAAGAACTTGGGCCATCTTCTGCTGTTTTCCCAGGCTTCAAGCAGGGAGCTAGATGGGAAGTGGAGCAGCTAAGACAAGAACTGGTAACCATATGGGGTGCCAGTGCTTGCCTATAGAGGAATAGCAAGTTGAACCATCATGCAGGACTCCAATTTTATTTACTTTAAAGGCATAGTGACAAGCACAGAGAGAAAGAAGCCTTCAGTGCATAAATTTACTCTGCAAAGCTTACAAGAATGGAACCTGAGCCAGGCTGAAGTCAAGATCGAGGAGTTGCATTTAGGACTTCCAAATGGGTGACAGGGGCCTAAGTAGTTTTGATATGATAGAGTGTGTTATATGATAGAGTCACACTGGAATGCATGCTATGGTATCTGGTTCTGGTTCCTAATTACTGCTTGAGGTGAGCTTGTTCCTTCAGTAGATCTCTTAGGCCTCTGTTTCTCCATATATAAATGGAATTGGAGCTTTCCAACTGTGAGCCTTTCTTTTCTATATTCCCTGGGTAATATATTATGTTGAATAGCAGTGGTAAAAGTGAAAGTCTTTGTTTAGTTCTAGATTTAAATGGGGAAGATTCCAGTTTTTTCCCAGTATGATGCTGGTGCTGTACATTTCATGTGTTGCATTGATTTTGTTATTGAATGCTACTTTCTATCTTAATTTACTTATTTTAGTATTTTATGATATTCTTCCATAGATTCTAGAATTTCCCTTACCCTATCTCCAAGTCCCCATTCCTCCCACCTTATTTTCCTCTATATTATTACAATAGCATAGTGCTTCATATATAATCATAAGCCCATCATTCTGCTATTTCAGTGTATCCTAACATTGTAGGTATGTGCCGGAGTCCAGCTCCAGCCGAGTTCGGAGCTCGGGAAGGGTGCGTGGAGTCGGCGATAAAGAAAGACACAGACACTGACACTTGGTGCGCTCTCACACCAGCTCAAGAAAAAGCTGTCCTTTTTATTTACTCAGACACCTCACAAGCCTCTGCACAAGCAACTAATTGTTCTATTTTTACCTTCAAGTCTAAGGGGGCATATACAGACATTTGATCATTCCGTCTGCACTTCAGGGCTAAGCAGGTGCCCCTAAAGATAATTCTGCAAAATACTGTATTCATATTCTTCAAAGCAAGCCATTATTCATTCTTCAACAGTAGCCATGGAGCAACAGCCAGGACTCCAAGGCCAAGGCACATGTGATTAACTGCTAATCAGTAGTACATTCCTACCACATTTCTATTTCTACAATTTACCCATTATTTAATGGGAAAATAGGTTATAAGGGGAAAAGGTAAAATCTAAAACAAAAATTTCAAATATTAAATCCCCCTACATCTGTAGGCTCTACAACCCCATAAACAATGAAACAATAATTAAAAGCATTTTTCTTTAATAAAAGCATCCTTATAAAAGAGGCTAAAAGAATTACATTTTCTATGCTCCAAAAAAATTGCAAAAGCAGGCTAGCCTTTGAGATAACAATAACTGTATTTATTGCCATAGCAGTTTCAGCTCTCACTCCCATCACTTGCATTAATATTTAGGATATTTTCAAGCCCCTTCCCAGAAGGAGTGCTACATGTCTGGGCCAAATTCTGAGGCAATGGTTAAGTACCCAATAAGGTGTCCAAAAATGGCATGGGCTTAATTGTGCTCCTGTGTGTAAATTGTCAAAGGCCCACTCACCAAGACATGATCAGTGACATTAACTCTCAGGCTCACATCGGTTGCGGAAACCATCTCACAGGGGCAAACAACAATGCCTCAGTAGATTACAGAATTCTTAGTGGGGTGCTTGAGTGTTCATGCAACCAGAGGGTGAAACAGCGTCAAGGTGGCCAGAGAGAAATACGCCGGGCCTTGCCAAACAGCTGGAAGCTCCCCTGGCCCTGACAAGCATGGGAGCTATTCTCTTCACACCTTCGTGTCATCCACACCCACCGCATGGACCCCAGCAAGTATGGACAATGGCAGAGAGTACAGCATCCTATTGTCAAAATATATTTGTTTCATTGGAGGTCCATCTTTGATTTGGAAGTAGAGAGGCACACTGCATTGTATCTTCACATCTGCATGTGATAGTCCTTACTACAGAGTTACTATACATTTCCGTAAATGAAAAGCAGTAAAACAAAATTGGCAATAGAGAGAAAAATAGAAAATTTATATCAATCTGAAGTTAAACAATATGCTACAGAATGAACAATGTGTTGAAACAATGAAAATAAAAAAGAAAATGAAAGTCTTTGGCGCAAATGATGCTACTGTATAACATATGAGTTAGTGAGGAAATTAAGAAAAACGTGTTTTTTGAATCGATGGAAATACAAACAAAAGTATCACAAGCCATGAGATGTAGCAAAAATAGTATTGAAAAGACTCTTGATCTCATATTTTGCATGAAGATTGCCATATATCAGAGAAAATATATGATATTTATCTTTTGGGGATTGACTTGTTTCACTGAGAATAGTGGTCTCTAGTTGGGCCCATTTTGTTGCAAATTGTAGAATTTCATTCCTTTTACTGGCTGAATAGCAGTGCATTGATTAGTTGTATGCCTACCTTGCTTAGAATTATCAGCGTGAAGTGATGTTAGATTTTATCAGATACCTTCTTTGCATCTATTGAGATGATTATATGGTTTTATTCATTGTCACAGATATCAATCTGTATTGCTCTTTCTCTACCATGTCTCTGTCTGGCTTTGATATTAAGGTGATGTTGGGTTCATAGAGTTTGGAAGGCTTGCCTCCATTTCTATCCTTTTGAGTAGCTTCTGGAGTATTGGGGTAAGTTTTTGAAACTTTTGATAGCATTCAGTGGTGAAGCTATCCCTGTCTCTGGAAATTTCTTTGTTGGGCAGAATTTAATTACTGGTTAAATACTCTGTGCTTTTATGGTTCTTTTTTATTATTAATCTTTTTTATTATTAATCACATCATAATTCAGTTTTTGTTACTTGTATGTGTCCAGAAATCTATCCATTTCATCTAGTTGTTCTGATTTGTTGGCATATAGTTGCTTTTACTAGTTCCTGTTTACTATGAGATGTCCATTGTTAAATTTTCCTTTTTCTGTCTCTTATTCCATTAATTCATGTCTTCTCCCTCTTTCTTTTTAGATGGGCTAGTCAGTTATCTGTTTTGTTGTTTTTTTTCTCAAAGGTGCAGCTGTTCACTTTGTTGATTTTATGTATCCTTGTTTTGGTCTCACCCAGGGGCTTTGTTGCAGTACTCGCCTGCTGCCTATAGCACTAGTGGAAAGCTGAGTTGAGAACTATGCCCTCCTCCCATAGTGATCAGCAAGGGCTGCACTGTTTTGTCTCAGCTTGTGATTGGTTCAAAACATCATCAGGACTCACAATTCTATGGCTTGGTTTATCTCTTGTGTTTCCTGTGTTCTCCCCTTCTTGTTCACACCTGGGGATGCAATCCCCACTGTGTTATCTGTTAGCCTGAATCCTTACTCCGCTGCTTCTGTTGATCCCCCATACCCACGGCTCCCCACGTACCTCTCTGCTCTTACCATCCAGGATCGTGCCCTCCATTTCTCTTACACAAATCCTTCTCAGTCTGTTTTAATGTGTTCTTTTCCTATTCTGCCCTCTTGTTCTGCTTCCCATGGCCAGACATTTTAGATGTAAGCAGAAAAAATGATGCAGTTAACTTCGTCTATATAACAGTGAATCTTACTAGTTCAGTTTGAATCACATTCATAAACTGCAGACATCATAGCATGCTTTACACAGTGGTCTTTTTGGAGTTGCATGGTGAATTAACGGAATTGAATGTTTACAACTCTGTTTAATACACGAAAAATTCATGTGCTTTGATTATAAAATAAATCCTAATCTACCATCACAAATTGCACTAAGCTTTGCACATTCCATTGCATCACTATGGCTTAGAATAACATCTATATTATTTAAAGAATTTTATTCATATCTCTTTACTAAAGTTTCTGAAAAGAAGCAGTATCTATTGAGAAATGACCAATGAGTCATTTTTATTCCCAGCCAACTCAATATAGGATGTATGGGTATTTGGCAATATGTTTATGAAGAACCAAAGAAATGTGCAGCAATAAATCATTGTCACTAAGGTTTTCTAGCACATGAGGAAAACAGCAAATACTAGTTTGAAGAATAGTATCACAGAGTCGTGATTACATAGAATTCCTTTTAGACTTGTTGCTGAAATTGCCTTATACTTTTGAGGGATATTTTACCCCAATGGGATAACTGCTATTTCTGTTTTGCTTGAACACTTGTATCTGCCAAGCTCATGCCATAGTATCTTGTACATTTCCACAGAAGATTGCTTCTATAGCCTATGCTTTCCAAACAGGGACAAACAGAAAAAATATCACTTAAGACTTTATAAATATGCAGTTATTTGTATTGATATATATCGACATATAGATATATATATGGTGAAAACAGTAGGCATTGATTTAGACTGAAGCCAGGAGCCTAGAATTCCGTTTAGGTCTCCTACATTGAGAATAGAGGCCCAAGTACTGGGCCTTCTTTGGTGTTTTCACACACACTTTACCAGGAAGCTGGATAGGAAGTGCTGTGGGTGGGACTCAAACTGGTATTCTGAAATAGAATGCTTGCATTGTAAGCAGTGGTTTAATCCATTACACCACAATCCTAGCCATGGAATGTTTGTTTTTATTTAATATTCTCTCCCATATAAATTCAAACATACTCTCCTAGAAAACATGCATTCTAATGTAATATTCATAATGAAAATAGCTGGATCTCGACAGCAATACAAAATAGAAATGGAAACAGTTTTCTTAGTTATGGGTATTAATAACTATTTAAACAGCCTGTACAAACTTACCTGAAGCTTGGCAAAGCAGCCGACACTACTTAGGAAGTTAATATGAAGGTAAGCAAAGATCAATACTACCAGAACATTTTCCTTGGGACTACTTATGGAAATTGGAGTAATGAGACCTACAGTTTTGTAGTGTAGAAATATGAACAGGACTTAAATTGTCAGTAGATTTCCTAAGGCAGCATTGGGAAGGAATATTATGAAAGCAGAGTTTTAAATGTTGGTTTAAATTTTGAATGTGTTTGCTTTAACTTTCAAATCATTTTAGTGTCCATTTATCTATTTACATTTACTTGCAAGAGTGTCACAGACACACACACGCAGAGAAAGAATGCATATGCTAATTCTCTTCCTAAAGGGTCACAACAGCCAGGACTGGAGCAGGACAGAGCCGGGAGTCAGGAACTCTAAGACTCTTACATGTGCCAGGGCCCAAGCATTTAAACATTTATCTGCTGCCTCCCAGGATTCTCAGACACAAAGACAAATCTCAAGCAGCCTGGCTGGGCTTGAGCCAGACACTTTGATTTGGGATATGGTATTCCCAACAGTGACTTAACCTGACGTGAATGCAGAGAATGGAAAATAGTAAATGCATAGTAGTTATATGAGTTTATGTTTTTTTCTGTGAAAATCTTGGTCAACAATTTGAATTCATATTTGCATCTAAAGTTTAACTGTTTTGATGACATACATAGTATAGTTCCTGAAATTTTAATCATCTATTCGTAGCTTCAAGACACAATTTTGACTTAAGGCATATCTATTATTACACTTCATATTAAAAAAAAAAACATAATAATAATATCGGCCATGTTGGATGCTTAGGGTTCCAGCCGTGGTTGCCAGGGCCCCCATCTGAGCAAGAACACTACCAGCTGCCCACGCACATGTTGGAAGTGCGGCCGGGGCTGTACCTGGGTGGGGCCACGGCCGTTGAGAAGCTGGACCAGCTCAGGGTGGCGGGGATTACGGCCATGCTGATGGTGGACTCAGAGGAGCTCAGTTTCACAGCAGAGCCTGGAGTCGAGGCTCTGTGGAGCCTCTTTGTGCCGGTGCTGGATAAACCTGAGACTGACCTACTCAGCCACCTGCACCGGTGTGTGGCCTTCCTCCACCAGGCCCACACAGAGGGCTGTGTGGTGTTGGTGCACTGTCATGCCATAGTCACTGGCAGTGTGGCTGTAGTGACAGCTTTTGTGATGAAAACAGACCAGCTCAGCTTTGAGGAAGCCTATGAGAGCCTCCGACCCATCCAGCCAGAGGCCCAGGTGGATGAAGAGTTTCAGTGGCAACTGAAATTATACCAGGCCATGGGATATGAGATGGATACCTCTAGTACAATTTATAAGCAATATCGTTTGCAAAAGGTTACAGGGAAGTATCCAGAATTACAGAATTTACCTCAACAACTCTTCGCTATTGATCCAGCCACTGTCTCACAAGGATTGAAAGATGAGATCCTCTACAAGTGTAGAAAATGCAGGCCATCTTTATTTCAAAGCTCTAGTATTTTGGATCATGGTGAAGGAAGTGGACCTATGGCCTTTGCCCACAAGAGAATGACACCAACATTCCTGGTTGCCATGGGGACTCAGTGTACATCCTATTTCATTGAGCCTGTACAGTGGATGGAATCTGCTTTGTTGGGAGTGATGGATGGGCAGCTTCTTTGTCCAAAATGCAGTGCCAAGCTGGGTTCCTTCAACTGGTATGGTGAACAGTGCTCATGTGGAAGATGGATAACACCTGCTTTCCAAAGATGTAAGAACTGAGTGGATGAAAAGAAAATACAGCCAGGTTTGGGATCATAAACAAGAAAAATGTGAATGTGTGACATTTGTGAGCTTGGGAACAACCTTCGTGAAGATAATATTCTGTCCCTGTTTTTAATCATTCTTGTCAGGTTGTCTAGTTTGTAGGCAATCAGCATTTTACTGGCAATGTGAAAGGAAAAAAGAATCATTTGATGTAACCTGGAAACTGCCCTGTTACTTGCTTATGGCATGATATCAGTACGTAGTAATCAAACCTTCTTAGCCATATAAATTTATTTGTTAGTAAAATCTTTTATGATGCAAACATTTCCTTTGTTTAACATAGGTTTAGACAAAGATCTCTCATCTGTTGATTCACTTTTCAGATGTTGTAGGCAGAGGCTAGGATGAAATTAAGAGCTAGAAAGAAACTCAGTCCATGTCTCCCACATGAGTGGCAGGAGACACAAAATTCCATTAGCTGCCTTAGCCTATATTTGCAGGAAGCTGGAATAGGAAGTTTAGTGAGGACTTGAATTCAGGCGCTCTGAAATAGGATGTGGAGATGGAGGTTTACTGCGCCAAATGCATGCTCCTAAACTTAATCTTTGAATTACATTTTTCCATGAGCTTGTTAAAGTCCCTCATATAGCCACACACATTGGTTCCAGTGGAAGTCAGGGCTGAAAACAGAATCAACCCAGCGATTGCAACCACCAGCTTGGTCAGGGCCATGGACTGAGCCGGGCCCTGTACCTGGTAGTACATACAAGAATCTGGTCCGAGAACACCTCAGACGAAGTTTCTTTGGAGATCTCCCCAATCGAAATGCTGGACTCAGAACCCTAACCAAGAAAAGAGAGAAGACAGAACAAGTCAATCACCATCTCAGCTATATGTTGACAGCGAAATACAGGGCAAGCACGGAGACTCTATGTTGGACTATGTCAATCAGTGGATTCTTCAAAGACCTCATAGTGTTTGGAGTGGCAAGATTGGCAGCAATTTATAACTGGTGAACTATCAAAATCACTTGAGCAAGAACCTCGGAGCATACCCTACATGCGGGACCTGGAGAGGGTGGGAAATTGGATGGGCCTACTCCTTTAATAACCCCCTTTTAAGCATGAAGGAAACAATATGGAAATAATAGTCTTACCCACTTTCCTATAGCCCTTGAACCTTTTTACCCCAATTAACTATGTAAAGATTGTCAAAAATATAATAATAATAATAAAAGATTTATTTTTATTGAAAAGTCAGATATACAGAGAGGAGGAGAGACAAAGAGTAAGATCTTCCATCCATTGATTCACTCTCTAAGTGGCCGCATTTGCTGGTGTTGAGCTGGCCTGAAGTCAGGAGCCCAGAGCCTCTTCAGGGTCTTCTACATGGGTGCAGGGTCCCAAGACTTTGTGCTGTTCTCCACTGCTCTCCCAGGCCACAAGCAGGGAGCTGGATGGGAAGTGGGGCCACCGGGATTAGAACCGGCAACCATATTTGTTCCTGGTACATTCACGGTGAGTACTTTAGCCACTAGGCTACCCTGCCAGGCCCTTTCTTCTTTTTTTTAAAGGAAGGATATTTTTCCTAATTAGGAACTCAGGGAATTTTATTTTGTGTTTCTTTAAAAGACAGATATCAGAGTTGGTGTTTTAAATTGTGTTGATATACCATTTGGGATTTTTGAATCCCAAACTTATCTGCTGATGTTGATTTCTGCCTCCATTTCCTCTTCCACCCTCCTGCTATTGCAAACCTTGGGAGGCAGCAAGTGATGGCTCAGATACTTGGATCCTTGCCATCCATGTGAGAGATCCAGATTGATTTTTGGCTCCTAGTGTCTTTCGGGTCTCTCCCAGACCATTAGGGGCATGTGGGGAATGTGTCAGCAGATGGAATATCTCTTTGTGTGTCTGTGTTTATGTGTGTGCTTTTCCCTTTTCTGAATAAGCAAATTAAGAATATTGAATTATGCATTAGACTGCGTTCTTAGTAATTTTTCATAAAAATATGGACAATTTCTTTGAATGTCCACAAAACCAAAATTGCAATGTTTCTATTAGACTCCCTAGAGTAATATTAGTGCTGATATGCAGGTTTCTAGTAATATAACCTGTGCTACCAAGGTGTGCTGAATTGAGAAATGTCTATGAGGCTTTCTTCCTGTATATATCTATTATCTCTGCTGGACTTTGATAGGAGATAGATAGCAGACAATTCACAATTAAATTTCCAGCTTGTACCTGGAGATCAGTTATTCTGTATGGATTATTGAAAGGAGAACCATGTGCACAAGCAAGTAATTTTTGCTCTGTGATCCCAGCTGTTTGACTGGTGGTAGCTAAAGGACAGCTCATTTCAAGATTTCTCAACTGGTCAGCAAAGCTGACTGGTCAGCAAAGCTGTAGGTGTGTAGCTTCTCATATCAAGCTGTTTAAACTTATAGATCTTTGGTTGAGATAGAACGCATGTAGGCAGAATATAGAAGACAGGATACATTTAAAAAGGAAACTAGCTTTTGGTGAGACGGTTCAATAGCTTGCCATATGAACATGAATTTCAAGCATGCATACACCCAGCTTTTTGCCCAAGTTATTTTTTTTTTCTGGAGCATCTGGTGTAGGTGAAAATATGCAGATTGACTCTACTTCTGTCTGTTTTAGAGGATGTTCCCCAGGACCTGAGCTTTGCTCCAGGATTGTTAAGTGATACCATACTCCTTCATAGTCAGCTTCCTAGAGAGATTCCTGGAGATCACTTGTTAGCTTTGTGCATTGAATGTTCACTCACCAAAAAACATTGAGGATTGAAGTGTAGTAAGCATAGTTTTTAAAAGTTGAGTTATAATTTCTGCTTGAGAATTAATATTTGTCAAAGAATAACAGTACCCTGAGATGGAACTAGTACTGAAACTGTATGAAGAATCAGAATATATTTCATTGCTATAAAAATTGCTTAAAATGTTTGTAGTGCCTTTAATCAGTATTAAGGGCACTCATGAATATAGCATGCTAATGAACATGTAAGTGGTTAAGTGACAAAGGACATTGACCCTAGGTATTCTCTAATGATCTGATATATGTTGTGTGTGAAACATTTTTTCCTGTCAATTTTTCTATTATTAGTTCTTTCCTGAGAATAGAAAGTGGAATGACTTGAGATATTTTGTTAGTATATAGTTTTTTTTTATTAATTTAGGTTTTTTTATATTATTTTGTGTTCTGTATAAAAATGATTTACAAATAGAAATGTCTTAATTTGCTGATAACCATAACTTGATTCTAAAGCTTTTTATCATAATACATTTTTTTCAACTTTCAAATGAGCTTAGAAAACTGAATAAATAAAAACTAAAGAGATAGCTATGGAGGAGTTTATTTTGAGGAACAAGAATAAATTGCACCTACAGTTTGGTTTTCTAAATATGTTCTTTGAAATTCCTGAATAATATATATGAAAGATGCTATATCTGTAGTTAACGGATTTGGTTCCTGTATTTGTATCTGGAGAAATGCCTACACATAAATTTTCTCTGTGTAGACATAAATGGTTATGCCATTTTCCATAGTTTATTCTACCACATTTATAGATTTCCTTAAATATTACTTGTCATTGAATAGACTTATGAGAAACATATATAGTTGATTTTGATCCACTAGTCACTCATGAAAACAAAATAGCCAAAAATCTCAAGGATCTGTCATCAGTTAATAACAGAGTTAACTGGCAGGCATTGAATAAGGAGTTCTAGATTCTGATCATGGTCTTGAAATTGCAAACTGTGTGACTTAAGCTATTTGGCTTCTTTAATTTCTGCAACCACAAAATGGGGTAATTGGTTTCACAGCCATAAAGCCTTCTCTTTTCAGTGCGTTTTTTTTTTGGGGGGGGGGGTCTGGATTTTGGTTTGTAAATGAGGACAAAAATAATTTAAATTGTTGGTTGTTTTAGTTTTCATCTTTTCCAATTAAAACACATTTTCAGGCCTCCAAAAAGTTGTTTATGTGTTCTGAAAGACTTAATAAATATGAATATGTATATTCCAGGATTACCTGTGCTCTTAAAAGTGTTTTTTTTTTTAATAAGTGCAAGCCAGGCTGAATGAAGGAGAAGGTTAATTTTTTTTTTTCTTAGAGACATTATGCTACATTTAATCTTGGGTTTTTGACTGTGTTGTGTGTGTGTGCGTTGTTGTTGTTGTTGATTTATTGCTTTAGATTCATTGCAGGGGAACTTTTTTTTTTCCTTTGAAGGACCTTCATTTGGATATTTATAATGTCATTTGCTGTCTATATAAAATGATTAACTTGAAATTAACCTTACATAGAGTTTTAAAATTTTGACTCTTACCTCTGATTGCTGTGCCAGGACTATGTCAACTGATTCTTCAGACCTTATATCCTTCAGGCTGGCTGTTCCTCATACCTGCTCTGAGTATCACCGTGATAGAGAAAAATGAAGAGTAGGCTGTTAATAATTCCCAAGTTGTTTAATGTGAGATTATTAAATGTTCTGAATATTCTATGTTTAAATGATTATCTTTTTAAAAGTTTCATTGAAGATTTTTATGTTAAGGTGTTTATGTTGGTCAAAGGATATAAAATTTTAGTAATAAGAAGTTTAAGATATTTAGCATATCATGGTGACTGTAAGAGCAATATATTTTATTTTTGAATATTGCTTAAAGAATGGATTTTATTGCTCTCACCACAAAAGTATGAGATATGTATATGTATATGAGTATGTATATATGTAAGTGTAGGCCTAGAAAAGCATATAATCCCATAGTATTTTTCTCAATTTTAGGAAAAAAGGATTTTAAATATGCAAAAATAAATTATAAAAGAATGAAGCATTTAATGTTACATATCTTCTGAGACCAAACAGTGCGAACCTGCTAACTTTTTGACATCCACCAAGAAGATCTAGGAAAAATTGTTCTTTCTAGATATGGTTGCAATTCTATCGTTAAAAAGAAAAAAAGCAACTTTTGATCTTTTCCTATGTAGTTATCATATTCTATAATGAGTCTTTAATTATATGTTTTTGACTCTGCACCTGATAGGTGAGGGTTAATGCATTTCTGTTGTTCAGTCATCAAATAACAATTAGCCTTCAACTATCCTTGCCCCTGTTACTGTGAAAGAAAACTCGTTTAACTTCACTGCTGCCCACCAGAATTGAGCAGCATAGCATACATATTGGGTTAGGAAAAAAGGATCCAGGCAAATGCTATGTGCTTATGCCTCTTGGGTTTCTTCACTGTGTTTAAAGAACTTACTTATCTTATTCAGGACAGATAAACTTTGTGTCAACTTCGTTTCATTTCCAGGGCTTATAGATTAGCAGTGTGATTTCTTGGAGTAAATTCATTTTAACAAAATTCCACTAAGCTGAAAGAAATTAGGTGTCCTGTGAAGTGCATGATAGAATTTTAACTGTATTACTTAGCTTAGGAAAATGAAGCGATATATTTTATTATGAGTTTGGTTCTGTCACTGTGAAGGCAGCCTTAGTAATTGTCTTAACTTAATTATATTTACAATTTCAAACCATTTAGATGTTTACTTATTTAGATCTTTGGAGTTCTCTTTTCTAATGTACACATCATTGTTTTCATTTACTTTTGGAGTGTTTTTCTATTCTTACCATGTGATAAGTTATCCCCTTGTGCTTTTTCT